GCAGGGCCGAGGGCTCACCGAGGCCATCTGGCCAGTTAGTAGGACACAAGCCCCTTCCCCGTGTGGAAGGGTGAGTCCAGGCCAGAGGACAGGGTCCCACGTCACGGCCTGAGGCCCGAGTCCATCTTCAAGGAGTCCTCAGAGGGCTGTGGGATGCCGCCTCCCTCTGTGGCTTCGCTGAGGCTCGGGAAGGCCTAGTCCGGCCATGGTGCCCCTCCCCTCACCCCCTGCCCGCACCCCAGCCAAGCTGACTGTCAACATCCTGGACGTCAATGACAACACGCCCCAGTTCAAGCCCTTCGGCATCACCTACTACACGGAGCGGATCCTGGAGGGGGCCACCCCGGGCACCACGCTCATCGCCGTGGCCGCCGTGGACCCTGACAAGGGCCTCAACGGACTCGTCACCTACGCCCTGCTGGACCTCACGCCCCCAGGCTACGTCCAGCTGGAGGACGCCTCAGCTGGTAGGTGGGCATCGGCCTGCGGAGGGCTGGGGACATAGATGTCTGTGCCTGCTCGGCCTCCCAGCAGGACAGTGGCCTGCTTCTCACCCTCCAAGTTGGGACCCCCGGGGCCTCGGGGCTGGGCCAGGTCCAAGGTGGCCGACCTTCATTCACTCCCAGATGTCCCAGGTGAAGGACAAGAGTGCCCAGTCCTGGGGGATGGAGGTTCCCTGGTGTCTGCTGGGACCTGTCACACCCCAACCCCTCTGTGTCACACCCACCACCGTCTCGGCCACCCAACCTCCTGCTGATCAGTGTCACTTGGAAGCAGGAAAGCCCAGAGGACGAGTTTCAGAGCAGGCCCCGGGATGGGTGACGTGCATCCACTGCTTGTGAGGTCCTTCCTCGCCTCCCGGGCGACAGCAGCCCCTCTCAGCCTTCTGGGTCACCACGGGGCAGTGTGGCCTGCTCACTCTCCTCGTTATGGGGCCTCATGTGACCCTCGGAGTCGCAGACCCTTCTCCTCACACTTTAGAGAGTGGCTGTGAGGAGTGGCCAGAATGGCAGCAGATGCCTGTTTCTCAGGGAAGGTCATCGCCAAGCGGACAGTGGACTATGAGGAAGTGCACTGGCTCAACTTCACAGTGAGGGCCTCCGACAATGGGTCCCCGCCCCGGGCAGCTGAGATTCCCGTCTACCTGGAGATTGTGGACGTCAATGACAACAACCCCATCTTTGACCAGCCGTCCTACCAGGTCGGTGGCCAGGCCATCAGGCTGGGCCTGGGCCTGTTCCTGGGGGTCCTTGTGCACCTTCCACTCCCACCTCGCTGGCTCCTAAGGTCCCCGGGGTGCTCAGCACATAAGCCACTGGGTGCCCTGGGTGCCCTGCACCGGTGAGTCCCCGGCAGGACGTGGGCTCTGGGCCGACCGCGGTCTGCTGTCCCCAGGAGGCCGTCTTGGAGGATGTGCCTGT